ACCTTACAATATAAAGCGCCTTGAGGCGACTGAAGTTAGGGAACTTGTGAGTTTTAAAGGGTACGATCATGAAACTGTTCCTGTAATAGAACAATCTGAGGACATAATGAGTAAGCACAGGAAGTTGTCAGGATGGGCATCTGTCACATCTGTCAAAACTACTACGTTATGACTTCAACCCTAACACTTCTTCCTTACTTTTAAAATATGAAATGTAAACAAATTTTTAAATAAGACGCATTTCCTTTCTTTCTCCCTTAGAGTGCAGAAATGTCTGCTGCCACCAATCTACAGTTTGAAGATCAGTTTCTGTGCTCCATCTGTCTGGATGTGTTCACGGATCCGGTCACCACATCATGTGGACACAACTTCTGCAAAAAATGCATCACTCAGCACTGGGATGTTAATTCCAGATATTTCTGTCCCATGTGTAAAATGGGATTCAGGAACAGACCTCAACTGACAGTCAACACCGACATCTCTGACATGGTTGCTCAGTTCAGACATGAATCTCAGTGGAAATCCTGGAAGGCTCTCTTACTGAAATGCCTTAAGAGGTTTTCATTATGGATGATCAAGGTTGACACTGGAACTAAACTGATGGCCCTAATGTCGTGTCTGGTTTGTCTGCTTTGCCTGTGTTTCTACTGTCAGACTCACCTGGAGCCTCATGTCACAATATCAGGCCTATTAAGACATCAGCTGATTGAGCCTGTGGAGAACCTGGAAAGCAGGATGTGCAGGAAACACGATAAACATCTGGAGCTGTTCTGTAAGACCGACCAGACATGTATCTGCGTGCTCTGCTCTGTTTTAGATCACAAGAACCACGAGTTTGTTCCTCTGAGAGAAGAATATGAAGGAAAGAAGGCAGAGCTGGAGAAGACACAAGCTGAAACTCAGCAGATGATCCAGAAGAGACGACTGAAGATTCATGAGATCACAGAGTCGGTGAAGATGAGTAAAGATGCTGCAGACAGACAGAAAGCAGAAGGTGTTCAGGTCCTCACGGCTCTGATGGAGTCTGTTGAGAGACGCCTGAAGGAGCTCATGAAGGAGATCGAAGACAAACAGGAAACTACAGAGAAACAGGCTGAAGGTCTCATCAAAGATCTGGAACAGGAAATCTCTGAGCTGATGGAGAGAAGCTCTGAGGTGGAGCAGCTCTCACACTCTGACGACCACCTCCACCTCCTCCAAAGCTTCTCCTCCCTGAAAGCTGCTCCACCCAGCAAGGACTGGACAGAGGTCAGAGTCCGTCCACCATCATATGAGGGGACTGTGGGGAGAGCTGTGGCTCAGCTGGAGAAGACACTCAGTAAAGACATGAAGAAGCTGTTTGAGGCAGAGCTGAAGAGGGTCCAGCAGGATGGAGTGGACGTGACTCTGGATCCTGATACAGCAAATCCTTATCTCATCCTGTCTGACGATAGAAAACAAGTGAAGTGTTGCTATGTGACAAAGATGCTTCGAGACAACCCAAAGAGATTTACTTACTTTGTTGATGTTTTAGGAGAGCAGAGTTTCTCTTCAGGCAGATTTTACTTTGAGGTTCAGGTTAAAGGAAAGACTGACTGGGATTTAGGAGTGGCCACGGAGTCGATCAACAGGAAGGGACACATCAGACTGAGATCTCAGAACGGTCTCTGGACTGTGTGGCTTAGAAATGGAAGTGAGTACA